CATTGAGTGCATTTTCCATCGTTATTGTGAAGACTGATTCGATTTACTGTATGAATCATCTTTATTGTGTGAATCATCTTAAGGCCATGCATTCTCAACAGGGGCAATATCAGGTGAAAATTTGTTCTTGGGTATATAGAAAGCACTGACATACATAAACAGATATACAGCATATCTGTGGCAATAAAGTTTCACTGGAGGGCATAAGCGGAAAAAATGCCTACAAGGCTATTTGGGGACGATAGGGAACAAAAGGTAGAGAAACACTCTTAAGACCCTAAGATGGGGGGTCTAAAGATAAAGGGAATATTTATATCAATTACAAATACACTTTCTATGTGATTATCTTTCCGTCCATGCTTATTAATACATTTCTGTGTAACAAACATTAGTAAAACAAAACTAATGTTGAAGACTCTGGTAAAGACCATTTCAGAATGTGTCTACAGATGTGTCTACAGAATTATCGACAAACATTTCGAGGAAGCCCCTTATGTAGGCTAGGCTATATTTGGGATATTCCCTGTATTTGGAACTCTGTGTCCTTTTTAAATAAAAATATTGAAATTCCCCAAATGGTTTTATTGGCACTGGTTACCATCATGGAATTTGGGCCAAAAGCCCTTTAGACATCTGCGATCAATTAGTTTTTGATTATTGGCTAATTAAATGTATTTAAAATATATCCAAGAGATAGATATTACAGTTAAGTATCATAATTAAACTAATATTATGATTGAACATATTTTAATCTCTCATCAGTCCAGGGCACTCATGGAAGGAATATTTATTATTTAATTTTATATGTACAATTTACAAAGTTTTCATGTAAGCTCCATTTCCTGGTTGTGTACCTCATCTGACACTCCCAAGAGCCCTGTGAAGTAGGGATTATAATTATTTTACTATTTTATCTTAGAGATAAGGAAAACGAGGCTCAGTCAGCTTAAATAATTTCTTCAAGAGATTTAGCTGCCGATGGTGTGTATGAGCCAACTCAGGCTGCCATAATAAGATACCACAGACTGGGTGGTGTAGGGAGAGAGAATTCTATTTCCTACTACCCTCTTAAGTTCTTTGATTGGGGCCTTGTAAATGGGGCCGACAAAAGGCAGATGCACAAGCGAAAAACAGAGATTTATTAGCATGTGCCTCACCCTTATACATGGGAGAACTCAGAAATGAGTAACTCAAAGGGTTCATTAGGATTTGGGCTCATAGAGCATCTTAGCAGAAGAACGATACATTATTAGTGTCAAGACAAAGGAGAAGGACCTTGGGTCTCTAGGGGCAGCAAACTAGTGGTAGATAAAGGCTGGTTAGTAGGTTCCTCTCCATTGCCAGGCTGTTCCTCTCCATTGCCAGGCCAATAAAGTTGTATCCAGTGATTGACTTTTGTTTTTACTGGTAGAGAGGGGAGGAGATTTATATCCTATTTTTAGGCTTTTCTTGTATCTACTTCTTCTAAATTGCCTTCAGCTCAAAACAATCCTATGCCTAAGTGGCATATTTTGGGGTGGCATATTCTGTCCCCCTGCAGTGGCTTAAACAACAGGGATTTATAATCTCAGCTCTGGAGACATAAGTCGGGGAGCAAGGTGCCAGGAGGGTTTGTGTCTGGTGAGGCCGCTCAACCTGGTTTACAGATGGCCACCTTCTTGCTGTGACCTCATAGGGACTTTGTTTTATGCGTGTGAAGGGAGAGAAAAACGTCTCTGGTGGCTCTTCCCCTCCTTATAAGCTCAACAACCTCTCAATTAGGGTCCCACCCTTATGACCTCATTTAAGCTTAATTACCTCATTAAAGGTCCTTTCTCCAAATAGAGTCACATTGGGTATTAGGCGTCAGCACATAATTTGGTGGGGTGGGCGGGGGCACGATTTGGTCCATAACCTGGTGGCATTGGGGTTGGATTATTCTCCTCTGACTCCCAAACCTGTCTCCTGGCCCAATCGCATGATCCCTCCACGTGCTAGAATCTATGTCCTGAGCCAGACCATGGCAGCAAGCCTTGGGCAAGCAGGAAGCTGCTGACCCTGGTGAGAGCAGGAGGTCGGAGGAAGGCCTGCATCCTTGGCATCAGGGAGAGAAAACACAGGCAAAAAGGCAAGCTTCCCCTCGCTGTGGTCATTGCCCATCATTCAGATGTTCTTTATCTCTTGCCTTGACTATTGGAAGAGTCCCCTGTTTACCTTTTCTGCCTCCAGCCTTGGCCCACTCTATTCTACCCCCGCAACAGACAAGAGTCCTTTTCCTAAAATGCAACTCCTTACTGTGCTTAAAACTGTTCAGGGTTCGGGCACCTGGCTGGCTTAGATGGTAGAGCATGCAACTCTTGATCTCGGGGTTGTGAGTTTGAACCCCACCATTGAGTACAGAGATTACTTAAAAATTAAATCTTTAAAAATGTTCAGCGTTTCTCCATATCTAAAGTCTGATCCTTAACTCTGCGTTTAAGAGCTGTCCTGACCTTGGCCGGATCCACAGCTCTGACATTATCTCCTGCCACGGCTCTCCTCAAATTGAATATTCCAGCTACACAGAACTCCCTTGTGTTCTCTCCAATACACTGTTCGAGAAAATGTCTATTCTTATTTCAAAACTCAGCTCACAGAGCATCTCTTCTAGGAATCTTCCCCAGAAATCTTTCCTAAAGGAACCTGGCCATGCTTTTCTTCCTGAAGTATGATAATTTGGTTATAAGAAGCAGTTACCTTCCATGGGAATTGTCCCCATTTTGATCCTCCTTAATGGAATGTGGACCTCACATAGAACAGGCTTCAGTGAGTACTTGCAGAACAAACAAGTGTTTCTGGTGGCAGGTCCCTCACCCAAGTGGGTCTCTTCATCTTCGTCATTCCCCAGCACCGAGAGAGCCAGCTTGTTCTCATGTGGACCTCCAGCCCTGGCTATTCTCTGATGGACAATCTCAAGGAACAAATTGACCCTTATGGATTTTCTGCAGTAATAGAAAATATCACCAGAAAAATGGGATTTCTCTTTAATCTTAGTAACCAGCACTTTATCCCCTCCCCTTTTTGGAAAATTTCCTATGCCCAATATGGCAGCCCAACTCCATGTCATTGCTAGAACTCTGGGGGTCTCTGAGGCTTATAAGAAATCAGTTCTCCAAGCTTTCCTACAGCAAGCCAAGGCTCCTAGAAGGTCAAACACCAAGCCCTGGCAAAATCCCTTCAGTCAGAGTCCAGACTTGGCTCTTAACTTACCACCTGCGGCCAATTGTCTCTTGAACTAATTGGTTGGCTACCTGTGAGGGCTTTTTTTCACTGACCAGCTGTTTAACTCAGTGGTTTATCACTTCCCTACTTGAGATATAGAGAATCTCCCACAGAAGACTTCGCTGTCTGACTCAGATTCTACTCTTCATTCTCTCTCCTTCCCCTTCTCCTGGAGCACAACCACCTTCAGTGCCAACCCAAGGAGAGAAAGAACTCAGAGTAACCTTAAAACTCTGCTGCTTGTTATAGAAGGGGAGAATTATAGTCACAAAATTGTCTAATTCAGTCAAACACACATAAAATCCTGAAGATGATTAGGAGGGCTCTTCATTTTAGGATCAAGAGATCTATTCCAGCCTTTACAGAGTCCACAGGGGTGAAGGTTCATGCATGGCTTCTCAATCCTAACTCGCCCCGATCATTTCTTGTTGGCATGATGCCTTTATAAGACTCTCAGAATGCTCCATGTGCTCATCCCTGTGGTAACAAACAGTAACACTGCCGAAACTTTTTTCCTGTTCTCGTTTCTACACTCTCCTCTACATTTTATATCCTGATTTTATTCCACTTACTATCACACCACATTTTTCATGTTTGTTTTACATGATCATTGCAACTGTTATAATTTAATATTTCACCCAGTGCATATAAATACATTTTAAATTATTCTCGTTTTGTTTACTAATTATATAATGTTATTTTTCACTCTTGCATGTAACACTTTGATGGATATCTTCACAAATACACATTTAAAAAAATTCTTTCAACTTACTTCCTTAGGGTTACTTTTCAGTAATGGAATGACTGGGTTGAATGGGATGCATATCATTATGACTTTTAAGCTATTATTCTCTTGCTTTATATACACTGTGACAACTTTGTGGAGGTGTCTATTTTAGAGCAGGATCACCCACACTGAGGGCTATGATTTTCAATTTATCTTTAGTAATTAAATAAGTATAAGATATTATTTTCAGTTCCATTTCAATTTCCATTTAAGTCATGGCCAGTGCGTAAAGTACAACTCCTTAGTAAGGCATGGTCAACGTGGACTTTTTAAGCACCACTAACTAAACTGCGATTTCCAGGTTCTTTTAAATCCTATTCATTTTGACTTCGGTTCAAGGCTTCACTGACACCTGGAAATGTGACTTCCTGCACCTGCTTCCTGGGTGCCCTTCCCTGGCTCCCCTCACCTTCTTCCCATCCTGACCTGCACTGCTGTCTACCCAGGTCGGCATCTCTCTAAATTGTGCATCCATTCTACCATGTGAGTTATGTCTAACTGCATTTCTTTCTCTAGAAACATGTTTTGACCCTTTGTTCCAAATGCTCAGGATTACTGTTCTATTCCAACAGTGCTGTCAGAGCCCAAAATAGTTTGGAAAATTTTCTTTGGAAATTGTTCTCAAAGCCATTGACATGTTCTTTTAAATATCCTTATTAGTGGCAAAACTTGGTATTTAGAAGGTAGATTTTTCAATTTGTTTTGGAAGGAAACTAGTATCTTTTACAGAACTTTCCATATCAGACGGGTCCTGTCAGAAGCCAAAACCACGCCATTATTTCAGCAGAGAGATATTAAGAGAAAGAAACTATTTCCCAGAGAGAAGAGAGCTGGGCAGGCAAAAGGGGAACACCGGGGTATCACAAAGGTAGTAGTCGGAAGAAGCAACTGTCTCGCTTAGAGATGGGAGAACAGAGGGAAAATGTTGGGATTACTAAAGCTGAGAAATGTCTAAAAGGAGCCTCAGAGCTGGGACTTGGCCCTCTATGGAGGAGGCATGCTCAAATGGAACTCGGTGCTCGGAACTTGGAGTCTGGAGAAGAGGCTCCTTGGAGCTGGGATACGGACCCTGCAGGAGGCAGTGCCAGGGGCTGGGGCTGGATTTCACAGAGGGCTCAATGTGCTTGGTTCTGGGTGTGGGACAACCACAAACTAGAGCCACCTGCACTGCTGAAACCAGTTGCCGCTGCAGGGGCATGAAGAAATGTTGCTGGGCCAACACTGATAGGCACGGGAAGCAAACAAAGGAGAAAGTCTCCATCTTCCTCCAACCCTCACACTCCCTGTGGCATCCCTGACAGGCAGAGCCTAACCAGAAGCCAGCTGGAAAAGGAGAACATTGTGTGCAGAGGCTCAGCCCCAGTATCAGAAGTAGACTGTGGAGGAGGGGAGAAATGGGGCCGAGAGCAGTGGCTCAGTCACCAGCGAGCCACCAGGTACCAGGCTCTGTAAGTATTGTCAGCTACGAGACTTCCTTTAGTTCGTTTGGCAGTCTGGTTTCCCGGGACTTCCTGCCCATGGGTGGATGGGGGCCCGGAGGCCTGGAGAGAGGAGGTAATAGTGACACTAGCATGAGAACATACACTTGTCACTTTGTGTTCACTGCTTGGTCCGCTGCCTCTGCTGAAGGTAAGCTTTCTTGGGGATAACAAGGGGGGCTGTGACAGGGAAGATGGGAGGAAAGAAAGGAAGGAGCCAGAGGCATGGCATAAGGCTATGCCACATGTCATAGGATTCTTCCCTGTGACCCACGCTCTACATCTCTAGAAATTTCTACCCAACTCATGAAACTTTTGGAGTAAGTGGGTTCTTATGGAAACGGTGGAACGGTCTGAACTTTGCACTGTGAGAGACTCGCAGATGAACAAGGACAACACCTGCAGATACAGCACAGGACTTAGCAGAAATCTTACTGGTGGCAGAAATCTCAGGAAGCTTTATGACTTCACTAGGCTGTATAATTGGTCTGTATCTTAAGACTTGGGAGGCTCTAACTGACATTTAAGTTATACCCATTTTATAGGCAGAGAATTTGAGGCTGAGAAAGGTTAGGTAACATGACCAAGATCACATAGTTATTAAATTGTAAAATCTGGATTTGAACTCAGTTCTGATTCCCAAGAAATGGGAAATGGACAAAAGAAGCCGCATGGTACTATTACCTGCCATTTCCTCAACATAGAGCACATACCTGAAAACATGTTAAGTGCTTATTTTGTTTAATCCTCATAATTTCATGAGGTAGATACATTATGCCTATTTCACAGATAGAAAAACTGAGGCCGACAGGCTAAATAATATGCCTATTCACAGCCAGCAGTAAGTGGAGCTGAAACGTCCACTAGACTCCAAATTTTGGGCTCCCAACCAGTGCTCGTTAGACTCTAAATCGCCTGAGAATCACCTGGGGGTCATGTTAAATGCAGATTCCTATTCAGTAGCTCCGGGGTGGGGCCCAAAATGGGGCATTTCTAATAAGCTTCCCAGTGATATTGATGCTACTGGTTCATGAACTTCACGTTGATTAGCAAGACTCCTAGCAATGGCATCATACTGCTTCCCTATCCTGCCAAAACTATCCCACTGTTTTCACTGTTGGTCTGCCACCAATACCGCAGGAGGCCTCTTGGTCAAACTCAGCTGTGATATGACACACACAGCTCGTCCTTCTTTCCTTTTCCTTCCTCTGAAATTTTTCATAGTAAAGTAAGTAACCAAACAAATCCATCATCTGGCAGGTCATTAAGGAAAACATGATTTTTGCCCCCATGTGATTCCATTCAATTAATGAAGCTGTCATTAAAGTCCGTGAATGTGTCAAGAAAATTAGTTTCAGGTGTTAGATTGTTTGGTTCTAGAATAATTTCTATAGTTTTAATGAGGAATATTTGAAACATCGTCACCCTTTTTCCCATCAGGGGCTTACAGCTCAGGAAACCTAAGAAGTCTGCCATATTGGGGGTCAGCGGGATGTTTACAGGAAGCAATTCACAGCAGCTCATTGTTGTCTCCTTCTATTACCCTGAGATCTGCCCGTTGAGAGTTGAGAATGTTTTCAGAGCCTTAGCACTTCTTTAGGGATAGAGAAGCAAATGTAGCTTATGAAAAGTGCTGACAACTTCGTAAAGGGACCCAAAGAAGTCTAGCCAGGGATCTCCCACTGATGTTGTCTGCCCAGAAAATGGAAAACCTTCAGGAAGAGTCATTTCCCCTCTCTAACATAGAATATTTATATAGTAAACTCTGGGTTTAAAAAAACAAACACTATTCCAAGAGGCATGTGGGGTGGGTTAATATTTAAAAATAATGGACATGTTTTCCCCTTGCAGTCCCACATTTCCTAACATAGTTGATTAAACCTCAACATTTTCAGCAATTAGTGTTGAGTTGTAGCCAAAAGAATGATAATGAAAAGTATATCAATACATATATATATATATATATATATATATATATATATGTATATATATATATGTTTTTGGCTTTGGAGCTTTAAAGCTGAGTCTAGACTGTAGCAAAAATATGGTAAGTTTGCTTCGCCTTCACACCAGGGAGCTAAGCTAGGAATATGTGAGCTGGAGCACTGAGGAAGCAATCAGGAAAGAGACAGTTAATTGCTGGTGGGGGTGTCTGAGAAGGAGTCCTGTTTTGTTCCCATCCATGGGCTTGACATCCTAGATAGGACAGGGAAACAATAGAAACTAAGATAATGGTCCTGCTTGGCATTCAGTGTATTCCTTCCTCTGAGAGCCTTCTGGGGACTTCTTTATCTTTTCTTTTCTTTTTTTTTTTTTCTGCCTATATTTATTTTTATTATTTTTTAAAAATATTTTTTACTTAAATTCAACTAATTAACATATAATGTATTATTGGTTTCAGAGGTACAGGTCAGTGATGCATCAGTCTTATATAACACCCAGTGCTCATTACATCACATGCCCTCCTTAATGTCCATCACCCAGTTACCCCATCCCTCTACCTCCCTCCCTCCAGCAACCCTCAGTTCTTTTCCTATGATTAAGAGTCTCTTATGATTTGTCTTCCTCTCTGGTTTCATCTTGTTTTATTTTTTCTCTCTTCCCCTATGATCCTCTGTTTTATTTCTTAAATTCCACATATCAGTGAGATCATATAATTGTCTTTCTCTGATTGACTCATTTCACTTCTATGTCTTTTCAAATATCACCTATTTTCCATGTTTTGTGTCAGTAGTTCAGTTTTTTTATTATGTTAATCACCATACATTACACCATTAGTTTTTGATGTAGTGTTCCATGATAGTAGTTCAGTTTTTTTTAAGTCATTTCTATTGTTGAATAACATGCTATGGTATGAATATGCCATAATATGTTTGTTCACTTGTCAAGGGACCTTTGGGTTATTTCCACTTTTTGCTAATATGAATGAAACTGATAGGAATATTTACATACAGCTCTTTTTAAAATACTCTTTTCTTTTTAGAATAGTTTTAGATTTACAGAAAAGTTGCACAACTAATAGAGAGTTCCTATATGTCAATATCCAGTTTCTCCTATTATTAACTGCTTATATTAGAATCATGCACTTGTCACATTTAATGAGCCAATATTGACATATCATTATCAACCAAAGTCCATCCTTTATTTAGATTTCCTTCATTTGTGCCTAGTGTCCTTTTACTTTTCAGCATCCCATCCAGGATACCGTGTCCATTAAGTCATCATGTCTCCTTAAGCTCCTCCTGGCTGTGACAGTCTCTGAGACTTAACCTTGTTCTTTAGGACTGACAGTTTTCAGGAGTACTGGTCAGACATTTTGTGAAATGTATCTCAGTTAGGATGTGTCTGATATTTGTCTCATATTTAGACCAGGGTAGGGGTTTGGGAGATGAAGATCCTAGAGATAAAGTGCTGTCTCATCACATCATATCAAAGTGTACATACTACCAACATGTGTTCGATTTTTCAATATATTTTCTGCATCTTTTGAGATTATCATAATTTTCCCCATATATTTTGTTAACATGGTGGCTTACATTAATCAAGTTTCAAATGTTGAATCAACCTTGAATTCCTGGGACAAACTGTACTTAGTCATAATGTATTATCCTTTTTCTGTGTTCCTGGATACAATTTGCTAATAATTAGTTGAAGATTTTGTGTCTGTGTTCATGAGTTTTATTGTCTTATTTTTCTTACAGTATTCTTTTGTTTTTGTTTGTTGGTTTTGTATCAGAGCAATGCTGTCCACATAAAATAAGTTGAAAATTGTTCTCTTCCATTTTCTGGAAAAATTTGTGTGAGGTTGATATCACATCTTCCTGAACATTTGATAGGATTCACCAGTAAAGGCTCTGAGCTTAGAATTTTCCATGTTAGAAGCCTTTTAATTACAGATTCTATTTCATTAATAGATATATGATCATTCATTTCTTTTTCTTCTTGAGTCAGTTTAAGTATGTTGTGTTTTATAAGTAATTTGTCCATTTCTTCTAAGCTATCAAATTTATTGGCATAAATATGTTCATAATATTTCCTTATTATATTTTGAATGTCAGTAAGCTGTCTACTGATATCCCCACCTCCTATATTGGCAGTTTGAATTCTCTCTCTTTCTCTTTCTTTCTTACCAGAGATTGATTAATTTTGATAATATTTCAAAGAATCAGCTTTCGGCTTTGTTAATTTTTCCTAATGTTTGTTCTCTATTTCATTTACTTCTGCTTTTATTATTTCTTCCCTTTTCCTTTGGGTTTATTTTTTTTCTCTAGCTTCTTTAAGTAAAAATTCTGATTTTTTAAAATTTTAAGCCATTTTTTTCTACTTTAGCCATGAAAGCTATAAATTTCACTCTTAGTACTACTTTTGCTGCATCGTACACATTTTAATATGTTGTGTTTCCATTATTATTCACTTGAAACAATTTCCTAATTTCTCATGATTTCTTCGACCAATGGATTATTTACAAATTTACAAATTTGTTGTTTAATTTCTAAATATTTAGGGGGATTTTCTAGATACTTTATTGTTAATGATTTCTACTTGGTTTTGTTGTCTCATGTGGCTACAGCCCATATGTTGTAAGATTCCAATCTCTTAAAGTTTATTGCAAGTTATGTTATGTTCTTGCCATGTGACCTTGCCATTTTTCCTGCAAAAGGGGTAGCCTTTGACTTTCAAGTTGACCTTGTGACTTGCTTCAGACAATGTAACAAGGAAGAAGTAATGGCATGCTAGTTCCAAGCCTAGGCAAAAGAGGCCTTGTGTATTTCCCATTGCCTTCGGGAAGTTTTACCATCTCCATGTAAAGAACATGCCAGGGCTAGCCTGCTGGCTCAAGAGGAGGATGAGAGACACCAGCAGTAGAGCCTGGTTTTAATCAGCCTAAGAAGTCAACCTCCAGATCTATGATCAAAAATAAATAATTGTCACTTTAAGCCACTGAGAGTTTTGAATGATTTGTTATATAAAAAGAGCTAACTGATGTAGCCATTCTCCATGACAGGTGATTAAAGGGATGCTCAAGGCCTAGCCAGCTGGTCTGTATCCATTCCAATAGGCTTCCCTGCTCATTTGGGCTAAAGCACTACCAGGCCTATGTTCCTTTCCTTCTAGCTGCTGCCATTACTTTTCTTCCCTTGGAACAATGACAGTGAACATCAGTTAGGGCATCAGCCTGATGAGTTTGCTCATAGAGTTGTCCCGATACAACCCCTATTGAAAAAGCTCAGGCATCCTGGGAGCACATCTGGGCCAGAGGGGCAGCATGAATGGGGTGTTGGGACAGAAACTGACCAGTCTCAGTTTTCTCCACCAGCCGGGGGAATGTGGAATAGAGAGCACAATTAAAAACCTCTACTGGTCTGCAGCACCTCTATATTGGCTCCCAACATTCACCCATGCTTTTGGACTCCGCTAACTTCAAGATGTCATTCCCTTCCTCTGTTAAAACGTGACTACCTTCAATCTGGTAAGAATTAGGCTTCTGGGACTGGCTCTGCATTTGGTCTGTTTCCCTATATTTATTCTGGCAACTCTAGTTTGGTAGGGAGAAGGGGGGCCAGCGGCACCCGTTAGTGTTCCATCTTGCCTAAAATTGGAAGCTCCAACTTTTCCTTTCTGCTAGTGTGTATGTATTTGTGAGTGTATGCAATGTACAAATATTTGTGTGCTTATGTACCCCACAGGTTTATATTCTTTTTGTCTGACAGACAAATACACACATAAATAACTGCATACAACAGGTATATATACATATATATATGCCTCATAGATATATTCCACTAATATATTTTCATGCTATATTTATTAGTCTGCTATTGTTTTGCACCTGCGCTAAGTCTGGAAGAGGTGGGCTGGCTCACTCTTTGTGGGGCCTGAGGCAAGAGTAAAAATAAAGGCTTACTTATCCTATGTCTGAATATTTAAAAGCTATAAGACGAGCTAATACATTGTTAAACAGACTATGTCCTATCCTCCTACCTTGACAGTTACATCTTCATAAGAACCTGGGAAGGCCAGGTTCAAATTTAGAACTCTTGGATCCCTCAGAGTTCTATATCAGAAGTAATGGTATGGAAAAGCTATTCCCTGACCTATGTGCTCCCCCTTTATCTACCCCAGAGTGGGGTAAACACTGGTTCATGCACTCAAGCATCATTTACCCCCCTGCAAAAAGCCACCCCTTGGCTGTGCTTTGGACATAGGCATTGCCATTCTAACAGCACAGATCATCCTTGGGAGAATTGACAGGGAAGAGGCCTGTGCAGCCCAGTTAAGTGGCTTTAGAGACATTTTGGCAGGGAGACCCAGGGTCTGATACACCCAGATTGTCATCTATAAAGAGTGGGGGCAAGACTCCAAGAAGGGACGCCTTGCTGGCCCTACAAACATTGCAACTGGTAGGGAAAAGCCTAGCCAGCAGAGGACAATAAATATACATTGTAACAATACTGTAATGCTAATAGTGCTTCACTGAGGAATAAATTCTCCTTGAACATGTGTATTATTGTTTAAAATACCAGCTGCAAATATTTTCTTTAGAATTTCTGCATATTTATTTTTAAGCAAGGTTGACTTTTTTGGTATGTTATTTATTAAGTTTTGGTATTAAGCTTATGCTAGACTTACAAAGTGATTTGGGAAACTTTCCACTTACTCTGAAACAGTTTCAGTCATTTAGGTGGTTTTATATGTTCCTTGATGGTTAGGTTAGTTAGATCTTGCCTGTAGAACACGCAGGGTCTAATGTTCTTATTTATTTTTACTTTTTAAAGTGGTGGATTTATGAGAAACCTTGCTAGTGTATTGTGTGGTTGTTAATGTGTTCAGATAATCTATGTTTTCTTGAATAAATTTTTGGTCATTTCTGTTGTGCTGGAAAAATCAGCCGTTTCATCTAGATTTGAAAATTTATTGACAATATTTTCTATGATATTTTATAATGATTTTTACTATTTTTTGCAACTATGGTTTTATCTTCTTTCTCATTCCTGATGTACTTATTTGTCTTGCACTTTTTCTTCCTAGAGTATTGGGCTTATCAATCATTTCTGCTGACATTTGTTTTGTGATTCATTATTTTCAGCATTTTATCTTTATTAATTCCCTCATATTTCTTTTACTTTGTTTTGTTCTAATCTTCTCACTTGAATACTTGGCTCATTTATGTTCAAATTTTCAAATGCAAATCCCAAGGAAAGAGCAGGTGCAGAATTGTGAATAGGTAATGAAGCCAAGGGTCAGAAGGAGGACAGGACATGAGGTAGAGGGGGAAGAGCCACACGAGGAGGAGTCATGACAAGCAGCATAGAATGTGTGAGGCTTGGTTGTCAGGGTGACATGTTATAAAACACCGCCATCCGGACACCCTGCCTCCGCAGGCTCTGCATCCAACTCCTGTCTCCATTTTGGCCATGAGCACATCATGAAGAGCTTGCCAAATACCCAACAGAAATCCAGAGCCACAATGTCTACTGCATTTGTGATCCAAGACTTTTAGTTTCAGAGTCCAATAAGTGAAAAAGAAGAGCCAGTAGGGAGAAACATAGGGGTACTAAATTTTATTTTGTCATGGAAGGATATTAAACATACATATACACCATTTTTTATTTTTTTATTTTTTATTTTTTTGAAGATTTTATTTATTTATTTGACAGAGGGAGAGACAGCGAGAGAGGGAACACAAGCAGGGGGAGTGGGAGAGGGAGAAGCAGGCTTCCCACAGAGCAGGGAGCCCAATGCGAGGCTCGATCCCAGGACTCTGGGATCATAACCTGAGCCGAAGGCAAACGCTTAAAGACTGAGCCACCCGGGTGCCCCCAAAATGAGCTTTCTAATATGCATATGGGATGGGATCACTTGGCAGGTTACTCTTTCTTTTTTTTTTCTTTAAATTTTTTAATTATTATGTTAATCACCATACATTACATCATTAGTTTTTGATGTAGTGTTCCATGAGTCATTGTTTCATATACACCATTTTTTAAAAGATTTTTTTATTTATTACTTATTTGATAGAGAGAGACAGCGAGAGAAGGAACACAAGCAGGGGGAGTGGGAGAGGGAGAAGCAGGCGTCCCGCGGAGCCCGGATCCTGGGATCATGACCTGAGCCGAAGGCAGACACTTAACGACTGAGCCACCCAGGCGCCCCACATATACAACATTTGTTATAACACAGTGATTATAATCAGATTTGGGATACTTTTACATATAAAAGTAATTAGCTCAAAATCACAGAATAACAGTTTTATTCAATTTGCAATGTGGTTCTTCACAGAATTCCAGCCCTAGCATCACAAAGCGGAGTATAGAAGGGTGGGTTTGAAGCTGAGTAGCAATAGCTTAATAACCAGCTCGTTTGTCGGGCATGGGGGAAATTTGGTGAGCCCTACTTGTTTTAGGTTTAGGTCCTTAAATTTTGGACCCTAGGAGTAAGTATGAAATGGAGTTTGAAGACTTATCACAGGGACTGTAACTCAGCTTTGTTGTATCCCAATCCTTAACGATTATCCTGCCAAACACCAGCAGTGGCAAATGTCAATCCTATCAGAAAGAAGATAGGATCAGGTAGGTCACAGTTTATTTCCACAAACAATTTTATAAAGACAGCATCCTGGACTGGATAAAAACTAGCCAGAAACAGAAGGAGACAAACCAATAAGAATGAAAACCATCAGAGGCAGAACCAATAGGGCTTAATATGTTGGAATGATCAGATATAGACTTTAAAATAGTGGAGATTACAGTATTCAAGGGGATAAAATACAACGTCTAGAATTTGAGAGAACTGAAAGCTGTTTTTTTTAAAGATTTTATTTATTTATTTGACAGAGAGAGACACAGCGAGAGAAGGAACACAAGCAGGGGGAGTGGGAGAGGGAGAAGCAGGCTCCTGACTGAGCAGGGAGCCCGATGCGGGGCTCGATCCCACGACTCTGCGACCATGACCTGAGCCGAAGGCAGACACTTAACAACTGAGCCACCCAGACGCCCCTGAAAGCTGTTTTTTAAAAAGAATCAGATGAATATCCTAGATATCAAACCAAAATTGAGGACACAATTAATGGGTTTAACAGTTAATGAGAGAATTAATACATTAGAAGACAGAGTGAAAGAAAGCACCCAGACCGAAACACAGAGAGGCAGAGGTAGGAAAAACACAGAGTAGAAGAGACATAAGGAATATCCTAGATCAATTTAATTTTTGTATTAACATTCCAGTAAGCAGAGGATGGGGGGGGAGGGAAGAGAGAGAGTGATGGAGGGAGAGAGGGAGGGTGTGAGGGAGGGAGGGAAGGAGGGAGAGAGGAACAGAGAGAGAAAGACAGAAGGAATGGGGAGGAAGTCATACTTGAAGAGAGAGTGGCTAAGAATTTTCAAAACGGATAAGCAATGTGAATCTAGTCTTTTAAGACTAACTTCAAATGTCTTGCAGGACAAATAAAAAGAATTTCATCATCTTTACTATATCCATCAAAAACATCCTCAAGAATAAATAGGAAACAAAGACATTTTCAGATGAATCTAAATGGAGATAATTCATAACCAGTAGACTGAACTACAGGGAGTCCTCAAGGGCAGAAGGAAATGATACCAGTTGGTCATGTAGGAAGGAATAAAGAGTAATAAAAATAAGTAAGTATAGGTAATATTTACTGTATAAAACCATTTAAAATATTTACCATTTAAGTGTTTAAATTAAATTTATAAATAAATTATAAGATGAAGAACACATAAATCAGAGTTGAAATGTTGTAAGAGTTTTACATTGTCCAAGAAGGTAAAAAGTACCAATTAATATTGGATTGGATAAATTCATAAACCATGATGTAATCTCTAAGGCAGCCACTAAAAGAATTATAAAACAGCATTTGGCTTCCTAGCTAATAGAAAAGAAAAATTGAGCAATTAAAAATATTTCAGGAGAAAGTAGGAAAGGAGAACAAAGGGAGATAGAACATGTGGGACAAAGAGAAAATAAATAATAAAATGGTAAATTAAAACACCCTCCTATCGGTAATAAGAAAACAAATGGACTAAGCCCTCTGATTAAAAATCAAAGATTACTAGAGTTGATTAAAAACTCAATTTCATGCTTTAGATGAGAGGTTCATAAAACGTAAGGGTACAGAAAACAAGAAAGGATTGAGGTCACATTCGCAGGTACCAGGGCTTAGGATTTCAGTATGTGTTTATGGGGGAGACAGTTCAACCCACAACAACAGCCAACAGAAAGACATGCACAGTGTGTACCTTAAGACGTGTAAGAATTAGGTAAGAGTGGTATTTGTCGGAACCCCAAACTGTAGTGCTCTATTATCAATAAATTGCAGTGGTATAGTAATATAATAAAATACTATATGATAATGTTTTAAAAATATTTTATTTATTAGAAAGAGAGTGAGCACAAGCAGCAGGGGTTTGGGGCAGAGCGAGAGGGGGAATCAGACTCCCTGCTGAGCAGGGAGCCTGTCATGGGGCTGATCCCAGGATTCCAGGGTCATGACCTGAGCCAGAAGACATCCTTAACTGACTGAGCCACATGGGCAACCCTTAATGCTATATGATAATTAAAATGTATAAGTTATAGCTATATACAACAATTTGTATCTCACAAATATACCATTACGTTAAAGAAGCTAGATGTAGAGAATATATACTATATGGAATCCATTCACTGAAAGTTAAAAACAAGCATAACTACTTTGCTATTTGGGTGATGTGTGTTAGATGATTGAACCAAAAAAAATTCAAGAAAGTAATTACCATAAAAGTCAGGATGGTGGTTATCTTTGGAGGTAGGGAAGTGGTTGCAATGGGGAAGGGGCATGAGCAAGGCTCTTGGGTGTTGGCAGTGTTCTGTTTCTTGAGGATGCTGGTTACAAAGTGTTGACTTTGTGATAAATCATTTGGTCATATACCCTTATTTCATTTACTTTTCGGTGTGTGTGTGTGTGTGTGTTTGTGTGTTTTTAAAGACTTTATTTATTTATTTGACAGAGAGAGACACAGCGAGAGAGGGAACACAAGCAGGGGGAGCGGGAGAGGGAGAAGCAGGCTTCCCGCAGAGCAAGGAGCCCGACGTGGGGTTCGATCCCAGAACCCTGGGATCATGACCTGAGCCAAAGGCAGATGCTTAACGACTGAGACACCCAGGTGCCCCTGGGTATGTGTGTTTTATTTCTCATGTTTACACACACACACACACACACATTTATAAAGAGAAAGAAAGAAAGAAAGAAAGAAAGAAAGAAAGAAAGAAAGAAAGAAAGAAAGAAAGAAAGAGAATCCAGAAGTTTAGTCAATTTGAGGCCATCTGGGTTACATTTACAATCAAATGAGCCAAACCAAAGAAGTATAATTAGGTTCATTAGAAACAATATATTGTCCTCAATTCTGCTTACTAACCTGGATAGGTGTGTGGCCCTGCCTGCAATATCTCCTGAATATGAAATTGTTAATTGAAATAATTGAAAATGTTAATTTATGCAATAATATGTTTTTGAGAACCCACAGTGTGCGGGACACTGATGTGCTTTCCCTCTGAGTTGAATTTTATGGAGTTCTGAGGAAATATGGACAATTTTGGTTTGAATAGCTGCTAGTCTCAGATTTCTTCACAGTGAGAATCTCTTCCCTCACACCACCCCCACCTTTGCCCACGCTCTAGTTGCAATGACTAAAACTTGTGAAATACTATGTATTAAAGCAGACAGGATGCACATATTCAAAAAATATCATGGCCATCTGAGATCAGGGTGAGAAAGTCTGTTGCAAATCTGTGGCAGCCTGAGTTGGGGAGTTGATGTGCATGTTCTCTGAATATTTAAGTTAGGTAAAGATTCTAAATCTCGTTGCTTGAAAGTGATCCAAAACTCAAAGTGCCAGCCCCACTGGCCCCTCCTTTAGGAATACAGATGTCATCGAATCTCAATAATGACAGCTATTAAGACAGCACATGAGACTGAAAAGAAATTTAAGAAGACTTTTATTGTTTCTTAAACTTTTAGTATCTTCCATGCCTGGCTTGAAATTCATTGCATATGATGTTGCTGTCTTGCTTAATCGTGTGTTTAAGACTAATGGGCCTATAGAATATGCCCAAAGTGAATTTCCAGGAGCCTGGCTTGCCCAGTCATCAGTAAACCATGTTCAGGTAGCGATGTGCCAATACTCCAATCAGCTCGTCTTCATAGCCTTCTCTCTTTCCAGAAGCCATGAGCTTCAGGAGGGCAGGGACCATGTTTCTGTCCCTTACCAATGTGTACTCAATATCTAGTACAGTATTAGGCGTGCAGCGAACACCAAATACTTATTGATTGACTCGCTGATTGAGAAAACAAATGAGCAAATACTTGACAAAACACATGTTTCCCTAAAAGGAGCAATGATATTCCAGAATGGTTCCATTTACGTTGTATTTAACGCCCCTAACCCACCAAAAAGGGCCTGACTTTGGGACTTTTATGTATTCAATCAACTAATTTTTATTGCATTCTTAGGTAGACCTTAGGGTACATAGTACTTTTGATGGTAGGAGATGGGGGAAATTTTTTTAAGTGGTAGGAAGTATTGGGGGCTGATTTTAAATAGAGTGATCAAGGAAGGTCTCACTGAGTTGATGTTTGAGTAAGATCTGAAGGAAGTGAGGAAGTAAGAGGTGAAGCAAGAGGAAAGAAGAAGAAAAGGAGGTGAGAGCTAAGGGTACATCTCCCAGAACAGCATTTTAGGCAAAGAAAATAGCATGTACAATAGCCCTGAGGCAGAGAATCCTGGGAGAATTCAGGGAAAGCAAGAAGCTGTGTAGCTTGAGCAAAGCGAAAGGGGGAGAACAATGGGAGGTAAGGTCAGACGGATTCCTGGTCCAGACTCTGTAGGGTTGTATAAACTATTGGTTTTTACTAACAGTGAGATAGAATCCATTGGATTATCTTGAGCAGGGGATTGACATGGCCTGACTTGCTTTTTAATAAGATCACTTTGATGGTTCTATTGGAAAAAGACATAAAGACCAAGAGAAGAAACATATGGAGTCAGAGCTAGTCTATGGAAAATTCTAACCATCAGATAGATACAATTGTAAGCAGAGAATTTGTTTTTTACCAAGACCAAGTCAAAATAGTTCTCTCCTTTCAGGAATATATTTGATGATAGAGTGGATACTATAATTACACAATAGATATTTTCTTCTTTTTTGATGAAAATATATATTTGGTAATACATGAATATGCTACTGTCATTGCAATTTAGAAAGAGGTTTTAGAATGTTTAAACAAAATGAGTGAGAAATTGTAGATTACTGTTTTGAATGTTTTTGAAGGGTACCATTTGGCATCTTTTAAGGTATTTCTTAAAAGAACTGACAGGAGAGTTAGATTAAAATTAATGGAATATGAAGCAAAAACAATAAAGATGAACAGTGAAATCAAGAGAAGTTATTTTGATACTGAGAAGTGAATTGTAATAAAATTTTCAGATTATACTGAAAGCAGCAATTCATTAAGAGGAAGAGATAAATTTAAAATAAAAGTTATAGGGGCACCTTGGTGGCTCAGTGGGTTGAGCATCTAACTCTTGGTTTTCCGTTCAGGTCATAATATCAGGGTCATGGGATCAAGCCTGTGTGGGGCTCCTTGATCAGTGGGGAGTCTGCTTGGGATTCATTCCCTCCCCTTCTGCTCCTCACTCTTGTGCACGTGCACTCTCTCTCAAATAAATAAATAAATAAATAAATAAATAAAATCTTTAAAAAAATAAAATAGAAGTTATAAAGTTGATCATCCCATAAATTTAAAAATCCAATAATGAGGAGAAGTGATTAAATAAGCACATTGCTAATTTGGCAAAAACCAAAACCAGTGACGTTAATGAAGATAACAGAAAAGTCAAGATATGCCAACACAATAAGATACCAATGAAAACTGGTTAAAGAGTATTGTCGATTCAAAAAAGTATTGGAAAGAAAAGCTTGAAATATTCTGAAATCTTAAAACTCATAGCTGAAGGAAACTGGATGGAGATTTTCCCAAATTTGAAAACAACCCTGAAAACTTACATGACATTACCAATAACAAGTTGTAAAGCTGAAACTTTCTAAAATATCAGTATTAAAAATCTACTTTCACCAACCATGTTAGAGGAAAAACCTAATTGTCTTTTTACTCTTGGTGTAGAAAAAAGAGTTGACCAAAGAGTCTACACCTCCAAAATTGTAGGAGAAAGTATGATAAAGGTGTGTCAGGTAGTTAATTAATCAAGATATTGTTTCTGGATATTGCTTCTGGAGTCACAGGTTTTGTTGACTTTTTAAAATTTGGATCTAGTTGTGATTTTTTGTCTCACTCTTGTTAAATTAATTAAACAAGGAAGCCATTAGACTGAAGTAGCTCTCATGAGGTGGCAGCCTACATAGCAACCCAAAATCTAAACCTGTGTATATAAAATGCCTCAAGGTTATGAAATTGAAACCTAAGGATAATCGATCAAAAATGGCCAGCTAAGCTTTAAGCTATAGCCAGTCAAATAATTTCCTTTCTATGCTTCCACCTCTTCTCTATATATCGTTCTCCCAGCTCCTGTCAGTGGGGTGCCTCTAACTTTTGGTTTGGCATTGCCCAATTAAATTGATTTTTGCTCAAATAATCTCTTAAAATTTTTAATATGCCTCAGTTACCTTTTAATATGTTAAGTAAATATTTATGTTCTGCCTAAATCCTTAATGCATTTTTTAAGAGGGACCCCCAGGTGATAGAAGCTTCAGGCTCCCAAAATCTGGATTCACTCTGATCAATAGGTTGGTTTGTGTATTTTAAGATTGCAAAAAAAATAAAAAATAAAAATTAGATGTCCACAAAGAGAGACAGATATACAAATTTGGAGTTCAGGATAGAGGTTCAAGTTGGAGAAGTACATTTGTGAGTGGAATGTTGTCCATATTCCAGTGGGTGAGTCCTTACCATACCACTAATAATTAACTTGATTCTCTGCAGATGCTGACTGGGTGTCCCACAAATTTAGCTCAAGTGTGACACTACCTGGAAATAGTGTCAGATTCCACAGGTTAACGGCTCAGTCCCATAAGACTGCCCCCCCTTCTCACTTCAGATGCCAAGCTCAAATCCAGATGGTTGCCTGGGCTTCTGACCACCTTGCTGTAAATCAGAGGTTCCCACAACTGCCTCCTCAGGTTCCATTGATTTGCTAGAGTGGCTCACAGAACTCAAGAAACTAGTTTACTTACTAGATTACTGGTTTATTGCAAAGGATATTAAAGGATACAAATGAACAACTAGATGAAGAGATACATAGGAAGAGGTCCCAAACACAGGAGCTTCTGTCCTGTGGAGTTTGGTCCTTGGAGCATGGATGCATTCTGTTTCACCAACATGGAAGCTCTCTGAACACAGTTTTTGTGGAGGCTTCATGACTTAGACATGATTGATCAAGTCATCGGACATTGACCATTGATTCAACCTCTAGTCCCTCTCCCCGCCCTGGAGGTAGAGGGGTAGGACTAGAAGTTCCAATCCTCTAATAATTAGGTTTTTCCCTTGGCAACCAGCCTCATTAACATAACAGAGATATCTCTACAGCTCTTATTACTTAGGAAATTCCAAGTGTCCGGCCAGAAAGAGAACAAAGACCAAATATAGGCATACCTCATTTTATTGCATTTGGCTTTATTGTGATTCACAGATGTTGTGTTGTTTTTTTTTTTACAAATTGAAGGCTTGAGGCAACCCTGCTTAAAGCACGTCTATCAGGGCCATTTTTCCAACAGCATTTGCTCACTTCATGTCTCTGTGTCACAGTTGGGTCGTTTTCACAAAATTTTAAACTTTTTCATTATTATTGTATTTGTTGTGGTGATCTGTAATCAGTGATTAAAACTCTTTTACTGTAAAAGCTCAGATGATGGTAATTTTTAATTAAGTTATGTACATTGTTTTAGGCATAATGCTATCACACACTTAATAGACTATGGTATAGTGTCAACATAACTTTTATATGCAGTAGAAACCAAAAAATTTATTTGACTTGTTTATTCTGATATTTGTTTTATTGCAGTGGTCTGGAACCCAACCTGAAATATCTCTAAGGTAGGCCCATATATATTTCTTATTATAAAATCACAATATCACACATATCTAAATGGTATTTAAAAACTTAAGACTCAGGGCCATGTTATGACTTTTGTGGGCTCTAGGCAATTTTGCCTTTGTGAGCCTCTTCCTCCATTAAAAAAACATATAATTATATAAAATTATATAATTATTAATAATATAATAGTCAATATAATCACTAATTAACTAATATACTAATTAACATAACAACAACATACTAATTAACTAATTAACATAATAATCACATTATTGTATATTTATATATTATTGTTGTCGAAAACCGACCTCTGTGCTTCAGAGCCAAAACATAACACAAACACAGAGTTTGGGATTAAAAAAGAACAATAGCTTTATTGCTTTGCTGGGCAAAGGAGGCTGCAGTGGGTTATGGCCTTCAAAAAACTGCAAGCCTGGGGCGTCTGGGTGACTCAGCCGGTTAAGCGTCTGCCTTCGGCTCAGGTCATGATCCCAGGGTCCTGGGATCGAGCCCCACATCGGGCTCCCTGCTCAGCGGGAAGCCTGCTTCTCCCTCTCCCACTCCGCCTGCTTGTGTTCCCTCTCTCGCTCTGTCTCTCTCTCTGTCAAATAAATAAATAAAATCTTAAAAAAAAAAAACCCCAAAAACAAAAACAAAACTGCAAGCCTGCCTGGAGGAAGGGGTTGGGGGGTTTTATAGGGAAGTCCAGGTTCTAGCTGGTTTGACAGGAATTGTGTACTTGCTGCCAGCCTCCATTGTCTTGTCTTGAGGGTGGTACCGGGTTCCTGAAACAAAAAGTTAAGAAGGGAGGAAAAAGGTTACTTTAAAATCAAACTTCACTGGAGCATTAGTACAGCTATTTTGATTTTTGTTCAACCTTATGCTTTTAAGAGGTTTCATTATGATTATATGTTGTGTATTATAAATATATAGTAGCAGCATATATTAAGATGACTAATATCTAGGCTGAATATATTATCGTATTTACTTTTTCTTCTAATTTTAAAATAAATTAAAATATTTTCATGGGCCCTGGAAAGTATCGCATAATTGTTAAATTAACCACATTAGACCCAAGACGGAGTCATCTTGTTAAACCCTATATCAGCAAACCAAAACGTTACTGAATTTCTATGCGGGCTATCCCAGGGAGGCCCAGGTCAACCCATCAGCAAATGCCTGCTCAGCACAAGTTACCTGACTTGGCTCCAAATAAGGAAAGTAATCAGCAAATGCCACTATAACTTCCGTGTTCCAGCTCACTTTGGTCTATAAAAATCTCTTGCCTTGTACAGCTTTTTGGAGATCCTTTCTAGCTGTTGGATTGATGCTGCCTGATTCATGAATGACGGCAAAAAAGCCTGCTAGAACAATAAATTGTCTGTGGAAAATTTTCTTTTAACACAGCCAATTTTGCATATCCTCTCCAGATCAGTCACACATGATGGCCCGCTTCTGGTTAGCCTGCCTCCAGCTTCCCCACCAATGACCCCCATCAGGGCATACCTGAAGCCTTCCTTTCTTTTCATTGTAAAGATTTCTTGCTCCCCTGCCTGCCTGTGACTCACTTGCTGACTCCTTGAGTGACTCCCTTGCTCTATACTGAGTTCAAGCTTTGGTTCATTTCCACAAGGACAAGACCATTACAGGGGAGGAGGTCAACAAACTGAAGGTCAGGGTAGTAGAAGGATCAAATATGTGGAGGTTAAAGTCATCTAGCATTATGACAGGAGGAGGGTTGGAGGGATAGACATTGATGGATGTTGGTCATGTGAGAGACGACCCCAAATAGAAGAAATAGTGGGAGTCACCCAGGGTTCACAGATGATGGCAACAGTGAAGTATGGTGGGTGATAAAGTCTGATGACCTGGGAGTCAGAGCTATGACTCTTACAGAGGTTAAGAGGAGATAATGGCAAGGGAGCAACAATGAGGAGTTGGAAGGACCCCTCTCCATCAGCTCCAGTGAAAGGAGGGATGTTGGAGCTCCTGCAACGGGAGCAGTGCCCTCAGGGAAGAGCCAGGTTTCAGTTAGAAGGTGAAGGTAACCCAGGCTTGAGTGTTTAGGGAAACTTGCTTATTATGACCATGAATTCCAGATAGTTGACTGTTGTAGAAGTTGGAGAGGGTTATGAGATGGGGTCAGAACATACAGAACATTTTGGAGATCTTGGGGATGAGGGATGAACTGGGGGATGTGAGCTTCCTGCAGTGACTAGTAAAAATGGAGACAAAGATCTACAGATGGATGGTGAAGTTGTGGGTGTTGAGAGGGAAGGGATGGTTGGGGATCTTGTCAAGGAGGATTCTGAGCTCTGGTGCTTCTTTCAGACCTCACTGGGGTATGGGAGGCCTGTGGAAGATCAGTTGTCCAGTGAGCGTGTGGAGCTTTGTTTAGACCCCAAGGATGGAGGTGTAGAGGGTGTGAAAGGGAGTCTTACAAGTGGGAACGGTTTCCCATGTCGGCATAAAAATGTCTCTGTAAAGACTGCCTCAGCTGCTTCAAAAGTCCTGCCAAGCCCTCAACATGAGCTGGATACACAGGCACTGAAATATTTGTTGAATGAATGAATGAATGAATGAATGAATGAATGAATGGATTTCCTTTAGTAACTGGAATATTTAACATCCACACCCTAAAGCATCTGCATTAGAATCACTTTCTGGGTAGATAACCTACCAGACTTCTATACAATTAAAAGAAAAACAAAACAGAATAGGGTCTGCCTGCCCTAAGACCAAATTCCAGCCCCAGAATGGAGAAAATTCATATACTTTCTAAAATTACGGTTTTCTAGATCTAATCATTTAAAGATACAGATCACATAGGCAAAGAATGGGTAATTACAGAATATGGGAAAGGAAAAAAGGAGCTAAACTTTATTGGTGGTGTTGGGGGTGGTCAAAGAAAGAATATGATGAGTTTTGAACGTCAATTTGAAGAAGGGCAAGTATAATAGGTATTTCTTCTAAGTCATAAGAGCCTGGGGTGAAGTCAGGATTACTGGCCCCCAAATACTAAAAATAAAAGAAAATTAGTTATTTCACTTTTCTTCATTAGCCACCTTGCAGGATCACCTAGCATTTCCTAGGTCTCTCCTTGCACTAGCCATCAGGAGCCATTTCCTTGGACATGGGTGACGACCCCGGGAGAGTGCCTCTTGGCTTCTGGTTCTAGGCTTGCTCCAGGTGCCTTCTCTGTAGCAGCTTCTAGAAGAATTCATATTCTGCTTCCCAGTTATAGACCCCTAAAGACCACACTCATAAAGTAACAGATTAAAGGGACCTTAAGGTATTTTTAGTCTAGTCTAATTTGCTACCTGATTGCAGGGACTCTTCAGAAAATGGCATTCAACTTCAAAGTGACACAGCATTTACCACCCCAGAGGCAGCCCATTCCATTTTGGTCCTTTTCAATAAATAGAATGTTCAGGCTCATTGAACTGAAATCCCCATAGCTTCTTTAGCAGTATTTCTGCCAAGATTTTGTAATCAGTTTAATAAGATCAGTGGCCATAAGATTATATGCCATAGGTTGTCTTTCTGGTAGCCAGAATTCAGTCTCTGTAATGGAAACAGCGGATTCAACCCTGGTGCAGTCTTATTAATCAATTTCCTTTTCTGTATGCATTATTTATCAATGTTCTTCTAATGTCATCCTCTGATTACATTACTGATTAATTCTTTATTTTATGCAATCTAACAAGCATTAAATTAATTAAAGAATGCCTACTGTGTGTCAGGCACAGAGGTTATAGCCACATTGGTAAGTGAGTCAGATAAGATTCCACTCTCCAAGATTTTATTTGCTATAGGGATATAGAGCCAAGGAAACAGGCTTTAATTCAAAAGTGAGCTAAGTGCTATGTTATGGGAGTTATTAGAATATGTTGGGAGTTCACACTGGGCCACCTAATCTACTTTGAATTATGATGCCAGAAATCAAGTGGTTGGTTTTCTAAAGTACATGCTAGCCCTGAATGTAAACTCCACTCACCTTGGATAAATTTGCGTATGTCCCATGTTTCATCAAGCATTCATATGCAGACCATTCCCAGTGGTGAAGCCTATGGATAGGACAAACCCAGGGTTAAGCAGTCATGGATGGGAAAAGTGGCTGGCAGGGGTGGAAGAGCGGGGAGGTGGGTCTTGGCCCTGGGTGCCTTTAATGGCTCTCAAATTCCAGACTCCCCAGTCTTTCCCTAGTGGGCAAGGTTACTTCTCAGAATGACACAAGTTCCTGGGCCTCTGATGATACAACGGGAGCACATTTTGTCCGTTGATTATTCAATGGAGCAAGGTCAGAAGCATTAAGCAAAATATTCAAAAAAATATATAGATATACAGGGATTCATCAGGTTCCTAATTGTGTGGGTACTTGTATGCGCACACGCGCAGGTCCAATATGCCTAGGTGAAGATGGAGACCGTTGGGAAGAAGACATTTTGTTAGGACACTGTTACGTACTTGAGGACAAAAGTGGTCACTAAATATTTTCCCCAGACGTCAAATCATGTAAGTTAAGAGCTTCATTTCACTGATAGCATTCCTAGCCTCAGACTATCTTCATAATTTTTACATTTTCTTCAACTTAATGAAATCTGCTCTGATTAGAAAACAAGATCTCCATAATTACGCTCCAAGTTATGGCAGAGGGGAGCAGATGGGTCTAATACAGATATTTCTGGTGGGGAGGAGCGTAGGCCGGACTTTAATCCCAGATCCTCTCCCTCTCCTCCTGTGATTTCCAGCAAGTTCCTGAACCATTCCACAAATATACGTGCAAAACGTCCCCATGCCATGGGACTGGTGTGAGCCAACCATTCATTCACTTGACAGATATTTATGAGCACCTGCTCCTGAGGTTCCAAATCCTCAGGACTGGGATACAGCTGTGAAAAATACGTGCAAAGAGCCCTGCTCTTGTGGAATGCATGTGGCACAGGGGATGATGGTAGACAATGAGTATAATTCACAAATGAATTATATAGAAGATGAT